TTCTTTTTCTTCTTTTGTTTCATTTCTTTTTCTCTCTTTGGCTTGATTTTTCTAGTTCACTTGTGCTGTCTTCTTCTCTTGAATATAAGGCTTTCCATTCTAGTAACCAATTGTTATATTGTACTAGTTTTGAAGTTGCTTAATCTCTATCTTTTTCGTATTTGAATACTACAATTGCTATTGCTCTTTATCTATTATTGCTATTATGTAATATATATACTAACTTGGGCTTAATAAGTTTTATTCTTTTTAGTGATAATTTTTATAAATTTTAGTTTAATTTTTTAAATTATTATTTATTTTCATATTTGTATTTGTTTTTTTCCTACCTTTTTTTGTTATACACTTTCTTAATTATTTTTTTTTTTTTTTTACTTTTCTATAAAAAAATATCATCTGATTGATATATTCTATTATAAGATAGAAATTTTGACAAAGTGAACAATAGTTAACTATTGAGTTTAAAAACAAAAATCCTAAGTTTCGAACCTCTAAAGAAGGCCAAGTATTGCTATGCAGTTGTATTTAAATATAATATAAATATTTTAATAGTTTGTTTTAATTATAATTAAAAACTATAACAACTATGAGATAAAACTAAGTAAGTTTATCTTTTGGTCAAGATACTACAAACTGTAATTAGAACATAGCCTATATAATAGTTTAATTTTTTTCTAAATAAAAGTAAACAAGATTTAACAAAAAAAAAAATAATAGCTATTATTATAATTAAAAAAACCTACTCTATAATTTTATTTAAAAATATAAAAACAGTTTTTTTAATAAAATTCTGTTTAATTTAAAAAAAAAACAAAATACTATCAATTTTATATATAATTTATAAATAATCCTCTACCCCTAATTATTTCGTTTAAAAAACCAAAAAACTTAGTTAAATATTAGTGTTACGTGTTAATATTGTCAAGATCGCTTCTAATTCTATTAGCCACCAAATTTTGTAATATCACAAAATGATCTACAAAATTAACCAATCAGAATGAAAGCCTGCTAAATTTGCACCTCTATATCAGTCGATCAAGATGTTATGCAAATCAGGTAAATAAATTTTTTACTATGAAATTTGAGTGATCGATACTCATATGAGAAAATCGATTTTTATAGTAAATTGCAACAGTTAGCTATTTTCAATCATTGTTTTCAAGGGTTTCCTAAAAGAAAACAACACTTCAGGATGTAGTGAATATTCAGAAAGTTAAATATTATATGATAAGTAAGCTTAAAACAAGATAAAAAAGTAAAATTAAAAGAATCTTGCTCACAAAGATAGCCTTTTGTTTCATATTCTATAATATTTAAGGTACTATAGATTTTAATATTTCGCTGATTACGAAGGTATTTTTATATAATATAAATATTCTTAACAATTTTATACTGATTTTAAAAGCTTTTTAACAAAAAAAGAACAAAGTACTAAAATGTTTTATTGTTAAAGATGAACTGTAGCTGCTTATACTATGCGAACTTATAATTAGACTTGTTAGAAAATAGTTTAATTATACTATACGAATAATTAATAAATATTTATTACTGTATTAATTGAATTAATAAAAGGTCATAGTATATAAATTTTATTTTTTATTAAAAATATATAGTATTACTACATATAGGGGGAGTCAGTAGAAATGTGACAAATTTTTTCTAAGTAAAAGTTTTCTTAACTTTAAATTTAAATATCTTGTTAACTATCTTATTAAATCTAATAAATTTTTTTTTATTTTAATTCTAGATAATTCTAGGATTAAAATAAAAAAAAAATTTATTAAAATTGATTAAGTAGTTGTCAAGAAATTATAATTTAAAAATTAAAAAAATTTCACTAAAAATGATTTGTCCCATTTCTACTGACTCCCCCCTATATGCTGTAAAAAAAATGGTATCAAGCTAATCCACTTGTCATATAGATAAGAAAAAAGATGAATTTGACAAAAAAATAACAAACACAAAAAATTAATTATCTCACAAACTATTGATCAGAATTGTAAAATTTTGGTACTGTTTGATTCGTCTCAATTAAATGAATCAAACAGTACCAAAATTTTACAATTCTGATCAATAGTTTGTGAGATAATTAATTTTTTGTGTCTGTTATTTTTTTGTCAAATTCATCTCTTTTCTTAGCACCAGGCCCATATTACAAATTCTTGTAAAACGTTGTTGATGCAATAAGTTATAATACAGCAAAAGTGTAAATAATAAAAGAATATAATTTTATCATGAATATAGTTGCTATATATTAAAAACAAAAGAAAAACCTTATTAGCAAAATTACAATCTATATACTACAAAATGGTTTTTCTTAATTTACTCTATATTTTTATAAGATACCCTTCTTTCAAAGATGCATTTCACAGAAAGTTCTCACCCGTGCGCATCTAACAAGCTATTTTTCACGTCAAGATTTTGAAAACTCCAAAAGAATCTTGTGAAAGAAGGCAAAATAATTGCCCATATTCGAAGGGGTCTCACATTACCTGGTAACGTTAGTTTTTCATATTCTTTATACCGTTTGATTCGTTGAAGCTCAGCCTGTTTGTTTTAAGAAACGTTATATGTTGTGACTAAGACTTGGGTGATTTCGTCGATTTGTGTAATTTATGAAAATCATGATAAAAAATCAGGTGTGACATCTTGATCGACTGATATTGATTTAAAGTTGTTTTTACGTGTTATATTTTAAATTAATGGCCGCAACGACTGAGAAATCCGTAATCTCTTTAAGCGAACAATTTCGTACAGGACAGGAGCTATATAGTAAAATAGAGAATACAAATCTTGCATCATCTGATCAAAAATTTCAGGTTAGAATTTTCTCTTTTACTTGGTGCTTAGAAGTTTTTTTTTCTAACTTGACTTTTTTTAGGAAGATGTAAGCAATGCAATCGCATGTTTTTCTGCTTGTGCAAAATTAGTTGATGAATTG